TGAAAAAAGAAAAATGACAGAAAGATTTTACATGCGATTTAATAAATAAAAATTTATATTACGACATTATGAAATTATTAATAGTGAAAAGATTTATTAAAGATTTCATCGTATATATTTTTAACGCGTAATACAATAGCAAAACAATTTACAATTTATTACCTTAACGAATTTATTTAATGTTTTGAATTAAAATTGAGACTCGAACAGGTTCGAAGATCGATCGAACGCATTCGCTTTTTATAATCTTAAAATGAAAAATGTGATTTCCTAATCTTGTCCACTTCAATTTTTCTTTCTTCTTTTCTTCTTCGATTTATAAACTTCGTCGATGTAATATATATTATTCTTTTTCTTTTTTTTTTTTTTTTTCTTTTTTTTTGCATCATTCGCGAATTTCAACGAACGTAACACTTTGCTCTTTGACCTTATTTCAAACTGTTTAAATTACCAATCGCGTAACAAAACATGCATTGCACAAGACAACTTTCTCAGAATCCATTGCGGAATGCATTTTGGTTACGTCGAATTCATAACGCCTGGGTTTCTTCTTCTTCTTTCTTTTTTTCTTTCTTTTTTTTTTTTTTTTTTAATCACGAAGCCCATTCTTATTACCTACCAGAGTTGTGTTCTCACGTCAGACTGATAAAATTTTATAAAATAAAAATAAAAAAGAGGGGAGAAAAAGAAAGAAAGAAAAAGAAAAAAGAAATAGGAAACGAAAAGAGAAAGATTTCTCGGATTCATTTCGTTCCATCATTCGTCTACCAATTTTATCGTTGCAAAGTATTCAATTAAACTTCCTTGAAGATGAGGCAATAAAAAAAATTCAAAGACATTTTTTCAACCCACTTAATTTTTTTCTTTTATCTTTCATACATTGTATGGCCTTTAATTTAACGATCTTAAATGAAACTATTGACACTTAATCGTTCTCTCTCTCTCTCAAATATTATTAATTTTTCGATAGAAATAAACAAAGAAAAACAATGAAATAAAACAAAAAGAAATATGAAATTGATCTAAGATAAGTCATGGTGAATCCTATTTTTTCATTGATTCTATGCCACGGATAAAATCGAGAAAGGGGCGTGTAGCCGGAGGATAGAGAATCAGAAAGAGAGAGAGAAAGAGAGAGAGAGAATGTATGTATGTGTAAATATGTGTGTGTGCGCGCGTATGAAAGAGAGAAAGAGAGAGAGAGAGAGAGAGAGAGAAAGAGAGAGAAGAAAAGAGAAAATAGGAGGAGGGATCGAGATGTCCTCTCAACGAGAGAAGCACAGAAACTCCGCCTACACGTTTCTCCACCACGTAACCAAAGAGAACAAGAGAGAGAGAGAGAGAGAGAGAGAGAGAGAGAGAGAGAAAGAGGGAGAGAGTGAGAGAGTAAAAGGCAAAACTGCTCTCTCGATCTCAGTTTCCCATCTCTCTCTCGACGCGAAAGCTCCTTTTGCTGCCGGCGCTTTTGACATAGTGTAGGTGTACGTATGTGAATGTGAGTGTCGTGTTCTCTCTCTCTTTCTCTTTCTCTCTCTCTCTCTCTCTCTCTCTTTCTCTCTTTCTCTTCGCCGATCGAAAATTATGATTCGACGAGGTGACTCCGCAAGGTGATCGAATCAGTCGCGCGATCGGTTCCCGAGGACTCGTCGCGTTTCTCCTCGACTACGTTCGTGTTTACAAACGATTTCAAAAGTTATTATCATTTCTTTTGAATTTTTCCCGAGGGATTGATAAGATTAATTGATCTACTTCGAGTGGATTGACCGACAGGCAGGTAATTTTCTTTTCTCCTTTCGTTTTTCTCTTGTTTTCCTTTTATTTTGTTTTCTTTTCTTTTCCTTTCCTTTGTTTATATTTCTTTTTTTTCTTTCTTTTCTTATTTCTTCTTTTTTCTTTATTTTCTTTTCTTTTTTTTTTCTCCCCTCTCCCTCTCCAAAATATATTAACTCTTCTCGAGCTTCTTCAATACAATTAATTCATTTTAACGAAATTGTATTGTTTTTTTCAAAAATAATAAAGAGAGAATCGCTCTTAAAGTATATATATATATATATATATATATATATATATATATATATATATATATCTATATATATATATATATGTATATATATATATATGTATATATATATACATATGTTGAACGTAATAGAGAATTTCGAAATGTCACGCTACAATCTGATGTTTTATTATTAAAGAATATATTCGAAGAGTTATAATTCGACGAGGTGACTCCGCAAGGTGATCGAATCAGTCGTGCGATCGGTTCCCGAGGATTCGTCGCGTTTCTCCTCGATTACATTCGTGTTTACAAACGATTTCAAAAGTTATTATCGTTTCTTTTGTATTTTTCTCGAGGGATCGATCAGAAACCTTTTAAGGAATTTTTTTTTTGATTTTCGAGATTATAGAGAAAAAAAGAAGAAAAAAGAAAAAAAGAAACGAAAGGAAATTAGAAGAAAGTAGAAGAAAATTAAAAATCAAGATAATTCGTATATTTAATCTTAGATATTTATTAAAGGTGAAAATGTTTAAATGGACATTTTAATAGTCGAATCGATCTCTAAGATCGAAAATGGATTTTAATATTAATCGATAATTTTAAATGATAACGATAAATCTTTTGAAATATTTCGCAAACAAAATGACGAGGAGAATAAAACCCTTATCGTCGTTCACGTTCCGTCGCTCGAACGTTTATGACGTCGTCGACGATTTTTTTTTCTATAAATCTATTTAAATCTCTTCTAACGTTTTCGTTCTTTTCTTTTTTCTTTTTTTTTTTTTTTTTTTTCTTTTTTTTTTTTTTTTTTTTTTTTTTTTTTTGTTCAGAACTTTATCGTCCTCAAGCATGAGAGAAGATAAAAAGTTCCAAGTTCAAAAGTAACATATACACGCGAGAGTCTTATAAATAATACCAAAGTATTGTGGATTTTTTTACGATCTTGCGGCTTTTTTTTTTTTTTTTTTTTTTTTTTCTTCAAATTTCATAACTCTTTCTTAAGTTCAAGATTATGTCTTCGCATTCATTGATATCCTTTGTTCAAATATTATCATTAAAAATTAGCCGACGGCAAACAAGCGTCGTTAACATTCGAGCGCGCAACTCCTGTAATCATCTATTTTGTCATTTCGATAAAGATCTCATTAATTTCAGTCATTTAAAAATTTTTCATCCTTAAAATATCTTGAAGTCTCATAAAAGTTTTCTCATAAACGATTTTAAAGAAATTGTGAATGATACCGTATAGTTAGAAAAAGAGAAGAAAAGAAAAAAAAAGAAAAAAAAAGAAAACAAACAAACAAACAAACAAACAAACAAACAAACAATAGATTTTTGTATGCAAATTTTTTTCCTTCTTAAAAGAAACTCGATCATTTTCATGTTAAGTATATTATTGATATATATCTAAATAGAATATAAAGTCGAAAGAAAATGTGGAGGACAAGAGAGGACAAAAAAAGAAAAAGAAAAAGAAAAAAAGAAAGAAAAGAAGAAAAAGAGAAAAGAGAAAAGAGAAACACACATTGCAATTTTGTATATTTAAATTATATCTCGAAGAAGGCTCGTGCCTTTTCGTTTACGAAGAGTGTGAGAGATCGTGAAGAGTTTGTAAACTTTGTTCCATGATCTCTCAAGATTTGTATGGTCTCGACGAGATGTTTACTAAACAGCGAGATAAATATTTCTTCTTTAACTCCATTCAGATAAACGTCTTTTCATATGCACGCGTAAGTTAAAAAAAAAAAAGAAGAAAAGGAGAGAGAAAGAGAGAGAGAGAGAGAGAGAGAGAGAGAGAGAGAGAGAGAGAGAGAGAGAGAGAGTTACGAAGTGTGTTGTCCTTTTTCTAATTAATCCGAGTTTATTGATAACCTTTAGAACAAATTTAATGACAAGGCATGCCACGTGTGATAATACAAATAAAATCAATTTTATTGGGAATCAATCGATTGAATAACGCATGTATATGTATAATATTGGATAAATGGAGTATCACTATTTATCCTAGTAAAATAAATTTCTAAAAGTTTGCAATTTGTTATCGAACGAATCAAGTGATAAATATCTCTTATATGGATTTATATCTGAAATATAGGAATTATAAGGAAATGAAATAACTTTCCTTGAATGAATAAGTTTTCATTAATCAAATAAGCAAAAGAAATAAACAAACAAGATAATTCATATAACGATATAAATACAGATGTCGTATTTGCATTTGAAAAGACACATGTCAGATGAAAAGTTTTCAATTGATTTTTTTTTACCTTTTTTTTTTTTTTTTTTTTTATTTTTTGTTTCTCCTTTCTAATCGATCAAATTTACAATTTTATCAGCTTGATATCGAACGTTCCTTTTTTTATTTTTTTTTTTTTCCCCAATAAAAATCTTTACGATCGACGATACAATTATTGTTTTGATATAAGATTTTTTTGATCGATGATTTCATTATCATGATAATCAAATTATCAGATACCAATCATTAATACCAATACGTATAGATTATTTTTGAAAATTACAAATCAATGAGGATATTCGAGGTCATTTTCATAAGAAGAGTAAATACAAAAAAAATTCCCTCTTTCTCTCTCTCTCTGTTTGTACGAGTGTGTTCGGAAGACCGACGGAAGTTTTGATGCTTCCCTAGGGAAAACTATGTATATGCTATTCCTTTTTCTCGACTATTCGATCGTTGTCCTATGTATTCAGGTCGCTAAGTGTTCAGCTGTCGCGTTCTCGTCATCTTCAAGAAACGGCTCGTTCCTCGTGTTTCACGACCTCTTCTCCGTGTGCTAGAATCATTCTTCAACGACAGAACACGTTCCGTTTCTTCATCCTTCCCTCCCACCCACCCATCCTCCTTCCTTTTCTCCTTCCACCCTTCTGCCCAATCTTTCTCTCTTTTTGTTTTTAAACCCATTAAATCCACGTTTCGTTGTCGCCTCCGTTTAAACTCTTTGTCCTCTAACCTTTAAACATCGGATTCAATCTGTTCGACCTGTCAACAGGATTATATCGTTTATAGTACTCGAATAAGGTATATCTTATATATTTTGTATCAAAGAGGAATGTCTGTTTTTTCTTCTTTTTTCTTTTTTTTTTTCTTTTTTTTATATATTGAAAATAATCATGGTATTTTACGAAATATTTTTAAATATTTACAGACTGGTTAAATCTTATATCGTTATGTTTCTTCTCTTTTTTTTTCTTCTCCTTTCATTTATATTTTTCACGATATTTTATATATCCACGTTTAATTGTTGTCAATTTAAAATGAATAAAATTATTCATTTTAAAAGAATTTAATATAATTTGTCGTTTCGTTAATTAACAATAAAATTGTCCTTGAATTACAAAATTATTCTTTTCAATAAACGTAATATAATTATGAAATAGATAATCGTTAAAATAATATTAAAAAGAACTCTCTGCGTTTCTCTTTCACAGGTTAACGACACCGATGATCGTGGCTTCTCGTAATAATTCTCGAAGAAGGAATTAAAAAAAAAAAAAGAAAAAAAAAAAAAAAAAAGAAAAAAAGAAAAGAAAAGAAAAGTAAACAAACGACGAACGTCGTATTGATCGGTGAATCAATCGAAAAGATTCGAGCGGGAAATTTAATTTTCTCGACAAAAATTCGACAAAAAATCACGCGTATGTTTTTTCTCGAGTGATAACGCACGATAAGGCTCGAAATGAGGATCGATTGAAAGAAATAAAAAAAAAAAGAAAAATAAATAAATAAATAAATAAATAAATAAAAATAAAAAAAAATAAGCAAAAAACGAAACGAAAAGGAAGAAAGAAAAAAAGAAAGAAAGACGAACGGAGAAAGAAAGAAATCTCTCGAGTTCGGATTTTTGAAGTGCCGTCGCGACGGTGGAGGATAAAGAGGTAAATCGGCTTGGAAAGAGGTACGACGAAGCTGCAACTGTGGAGGGTCTTTCCGTTTACTGGGAGGATTTCGTCGAGCAGCATCGTGTAAATGCAGCTACGGCGGCGAACATCTTTATGAACTACTCCGCACAAGACAGGACCAGAATGGTTTCGCACGTCATTCCTGTCTCCGGGGTAAGTTATTATCTTTCATCTCATTTAAACTTATATGACAATTTATAAATCGTTATTTACAAAACAAAACAAAACAAAACAAAAATAAAAACAAATATTGCTATCATAAATTTATTATAGATATGTTTATTGGTATCTTAGTGTATCTATCATATCAATATTTTTTTCATATCGTACAGTTCACCTGTAACTTGCCAAATCGATTAATTCTATAAAACAAAAATGTGGAAAAATTGTTATGAAATGATATAAATTGGTTTTCAAAAGAAGTAAAAAAATTCCCTTTAAAATATAAATACGAATAAATATTGTAGTATTTATAAAAGGTCTTTATTATTACGTTTGAATCGCATCATTTGCAACGATTTACGTTAGAGTACACAGGAGTTAATTAGATTGGCTTATGAAAGAAATTATTTTTTATTCGCTTGTATTATTATTTATTGGCTTATGAAATAAATTCTTTTTTAACGCCAAAAGAAAATTTTTGTCGTTTTATTATGAATATAAAAAGTGAGGACTCAAAGGATATATCAAAGCGCTTTGACATTTATATTTAAAGAAGAAAATTCCAAAAATGAACTTAATCGATTTTGACTTGTGAACACGACTCAGTTATATATTATATATTTTTCAATTATATTTTTTATATATATTTTCAATTCTTTCATGATTATATTACTATTATCAATAATTTTATTGTATTACGTAATTATATTATATAATTTTATTATATTCAATATCAGTATCAAATAAATTTATACATATTTAGAGAAATTAATTATATATATATGTACATATATTTATCAGAAAATTACTAATAAAAAATAATCACTCATAATGCATCTTACATATGTAATATCTGGATGCATTGATATTGAATTTCCTTCATTCTTTTTTGTTTTCTGTTTGTTTCTTTTTTGTTCTTTTTTTTTCTCTTTTTTTTTATTAATTCCACATTCAAATACGATGAATCAGACGACTTATAACTTATTTTAATAACGGACGACTGGAATCGTCGTATTTGAATGTGGAACTCGTAAAAAAAAAAGAAGAAGAAAAAGTAAAAAGAGAAAAAAAAGAAGATGAAAGAAATTCAATATCCATGCAAGCAGGTATGTATTACATATCTATGTATGATGAATGAGTAATTATCTTTGATTAGTAATTTTCTGCTAAACTATACACGTGCGTATATATTAATCAATCTCTTTAAATACGTGTAAATATTTGATCTCGTTCGCATTCTTATCTTCCTCGTGGCAGAAGAAGCGTATGAGGAAAAGTCAAGGTTATGACCTCGAAAATTTCGCAATCTTAATCCATTTACGTCTTTTCGATGGCACCTTATCTATCTTCGATCTTCTTGAATTGCGGAATGAATTTCTTGATTTCTCGGTCTATCCGTTCCTGCCTCATGTCTTTCGTCTTCGTTGAACCCGTCTCGTGTAATTAGCAGATAAATCTTTCTTGTTCGTCTTTAATGAATCGAACGGAATGTGGGTTATCGCTGGTTGTTGTGCTCGATCGATACGCAAAGGTTTTCGTTTACTGTACTGGCAATCGATAAGAATCGAATGACTTGTTCAGCTCCCGTCGCATGATCGAAGATTTAAATAGGATGGTTTATAAAAATTATAAGATAAATAGATCAACGTGAAAATTTAATTTCGACTTTATTAAATTAATTCTTTCGTTTCTATCGAAATAGAAATTATATAATAAAATATTATATAAATAATAACACAGATATAGAAATTTCATTGATTGCAAATTTTTCAGGAAAATAATAAGTTCGTTTATTTGGCGATATAAAAATTCGAAATGTAAAAAAAAAAGGAAAAAAAAAAAAAAAAAAGAAAAAGAAAAGAATTATAAAATTTTCATAGTGTTCTACATTCGAGTACATTATCGTTTCGTAATACTTTGAAGAAATAAAATGATTATTTCTAAATAGCCACGTTAATCTAAATAGCCACAAAGCCGTTAAATAAAAATTATCTTTGCCAACGAGCTTCATATTATATTTTATTTTCGATGATCGGGCGTGAAGAAGAAAATCATCCTTGGCCAAGTTAAACAATCGATTCGCCACAATTTAGGTACAATCGACCATAGTATGTATCGTATATATTGTTATTTTGACTAAACAAATAAACCGAAATAATCCGCAGAATAATTTACATGATGGTGACATTGAAAACGAGAGAGAAAGGACAAAGTTGCACTTTGATATTGACGATATAAATAAAATTTCATGTTCGGGGGAAAAACAAAATTTTTATGATTTTCAATTAATTTCTCTTTTTTCCCCTCTCTCTCTCTCTCTTTTTAAGTAATTAACGACTAAAAATAAAAGAAATGACGATAGTTCTGTACTATAAGAAACTAAGACGTTTTATCTTATAAATTGATAAGAAACTGACTCGTTCGTCGTTGATCCAAATCGATCTATCTTTCCTCCTTCCTCTCATATATTTTAATAGAGACCTTCGCAAAGTAAAAGTTATTACAAAAAAAAATAAAAAAAAAAAAAAAGAAAAAAATAAATAAAATCAAAATAGTATCAGATTTATGAACATTAAAAATATAATAATACATCATCATAATGTCAATAATAAAATCAACCTTAATATCATTATATCTAGGTATATCTTATTTAGTTATATCTATGAGAAAGAGAAAGAGAGAGAGATACGAATGTAAAAAAAATTGGATTCTTATTAAAAACGTTCGCATAATTTCTTTGTATTTTATATATATAATATTCAATGTATATAGTTACGCGTAACAATCTCGTAGAGAGGAACCCTCGCAAAAGCGTGCAAACTAGGCATCGTAAAACCAGATTGCAAATTAACGATCTAGTGAGATCGTAAGTTTCGCCTGGCATAATACGATGTCACAACACAGCGTCGGTGTTTGTAAGCTTCCGGCGACGGCACTTCAAACATCACAAGCCTGAAGCCAAAAGTCTTTTGGCTTTGGAGTCCTTCGCTCTGTCTGTTTGTATCTTCTTTCTCCTTCTTCTCGTTCCTCCTTCTTCTTAAACGTTTTCGAAAATTTATAAACAAAACGATTTCTATCATATACGATATAGAAATTAATCACTTTTTAAACTAATTTCGAACTAACGCTTGTTATTCCTTATTTTACATTATTAATGAAATTATATTAAAAAAAAAAAATGTTTCGTAAAATTTCTTCAATTATATTAGCAAGTATAAGGATAATGAAATAATAGGGTTAGATTTCTCTTTAAAAAAAAAAAAAAAACAGACAAAAAAAAAATAAACAAAGAAAGAAAAATTCTTTTCTCGTTATAGATCGAAATTCATGAAAATGAAATATTTTTTTTATATGAAGTAGATCATAAATATCTCATGATGGATGATATAAATATGTCATCCTATAGAGTGGGATACTGATTATCGTAAATAATGAGAGAAAAAGAACAAAAAAAAAAAGAAAAAAAAAAGAAAAAAGAAAAAAAAGAAGAGGACAGTATCTTAACTTTCTTTTTTTTTTTTTTTTTTTTTTTTCAGGAGCTGCAACAGGGTAACGGTAGCCTAGGTACTGCAGGACTAGGCAGTATACAGGATTCTCCTCACTCCTTAAAAATAAAACAGGAACCTTTTCAGCTGTCTCCACCATCCCCACTTCCGCCACTTCATCAAGGTATGTATATACGTTTCTATACTCTCTCTCTCATTTCTTTGTGTTATTTACGAAACGTCCCTAATATCTCGCGGCTAAAGAGAAAAAAATATAAAAAAGAGTTTTAACCACGTGAGCTTATAAATTATAGATACTCTCTATTCTCGAACTTCATGCTTTTATTAAAAAAGAAGAAAAAAAGAAAAAAAAAAAAAAGAAAGAAAGAAAAATAATAATCTAAATATATACAATTTTATCGGTTAAGTCATAATAAAATCTTAATTAATAGAATTAATTATAAGAATTTGCAGAGGAATGATATCTGTATAAAATAATCTTACTCTATTGAAATAATTATCATTAATTTATAAAAGTAATCTAATTAAAAATATCTACAAAAATTGATCGTCTACATTGCTATAATGTAAAAGTATTAAGATTTAGAACAATTTTATAATTATTATCACGATAATCGATAGAATAATCGTTTCATGAATTATAAAGGTAATCTAATTAAAAAAAAAAAAAAAAAAAAAAAAAAGAAAAAAAGAATCTATAAAAATTAATCGTCTACATTGTAATAACATGAAAGAATAAAGATTTAGGATTATTTTATAATTATTGTCACGATAATCGATATTTAATTTTGTTCAGAGATTTTGTGGGGAAAATGAACAAAAAAAAAGAGAGAGACAGAGAGAGAGAGAGAGAGAGAAAGAGAGAGAGAGAAAGAGAAAGAGAAAGAGAAATAGAGAGGGAGAGAGAGAGAGACAGAGAATAATCTGAAAAGTATTTCTATCAGTTCGAAGCGATTTCTGCGTAATATGTATCCTGAACGAGGATAGCTTCTTCACCTTCTCTCTCTCTCTCTCTCTTTCTCTCTCTCTCTCTCTCTCTCTACGTATTTCTTTCTCTTCGTTTTTCGTACTCGCTAAACGGCCCGTTCTAATAATACAAGACCGCGGAGCTGTCGAGTGTCACGCTCGCGAGGGAGGCCAAAGCGGAAAACGATAGAGATGGTGGAAGAAGAATTAGAGTGCTAGCGAACGAAAGAGATAGAGAGAAAGAGAAGAAACGGAAGGGGGGAGAAAAGTGATATACCGCGAGAGGCTGCATCCTGATCTTTCCACGCACCATTTAGTCACATTCTCTCCTGCGATCATAGTTCTCGTCAGATAGTCATTACCTTGTCGTACCCTTTGAAATGAAAATCGTTTCGCTTAATAGTCATCCAAAAGAAACGTGTCAAGTACATTTACAAATTGAGAGGATTTTATTTGTCTTGATATCTACTTCATCGATCGTGTTTTAAACGAATTTGAACAAAAATCCGTGAAAATTGTTCACTCGATCATTAAACGATTTAATTATATATATATATATATATATACATATTAGATTATTATCAAAAGAAAGAATTATTTTTTATAATATAAATAATGTATGGGAATGAAGTTATTGTTTTGTTTTATATAACAAAACGATCATATTCGTTCTATCTTTTTTTCTTTTTAATAATCTTTTTTTTTTTTTTTCTTTCTATTCTTTTTCTATCAATAAGATAGCACAAAAGTTATAATAGATATACATATCTAGATAGATTATGGCCGTGCGTGAAAATAGATTCTCTTGTGACAACTTAGGATAAAGAGCTCGTTTGGTATATTTATCGATGATTATCTTACCGGTTCGTGCCATTTGTCTTCGTACAAACGAAATAGTTGACCGTCTTATATTAACGGCTTACAGCTTGTTAAATGAGAGATATTTGCGAGCTCTTTTCATGCCATCGTCTTTGATGATCTTAGAGCTTGACAAAAAAATTAATTATAATTTGTCTAATTAAATATTTGCTCGCAATGATATAGAGATCCTGAGACTTTTTTTTTCTTTCTCCTTTTTTTTTTCCTATTCTATTCGTTTCCTTAAGGATGTGTCTGATGTAGACGAATCTACGAGGAAAAATTGTTTTTAATGGAAGACGAGTTAAAAAAAAAAGTTAAAGAAGAAAAAAAATATGTCAATAGAAAATTATCACAGTTATTTAATAATTATATTCATTTTTATATTGCGTATATTTTTACGTTTTGGTCGCAAACGTTAAAAGCTTTACTTTTTATTTCGTCTTTTTATCTATCTTACTCGATATAATTCTAGTCAAAAAGTACTGAAAAAGAAAAAAAAAAAAAAAAAAAAAAGAAAAAAAAAACAGAAAAGAAAAAAATAATGCGATAAGAAAAATGATCTTCTCTGATTTCTGACACGATGACTTCGACTCGAGCCGATTTCGTTGGCTTCGACTTTCCGCTATCATGCGAGCAAGCAAAAAGAACATTTCAGGATGAGACGATAGAACGAAGGGCTCATATTACTTGGACTTTTATTATATGCTAATCGTTTAATGTTTGAAAGAGACAGAGACAGACAAAGAGAGAGAGAGAGAGAGAGAGAGAGAGAGAGAAGTAGATTCGAGATAAATTATGCCTCTTGCGATTAACCCGTGACACTCATAAGGTGAAATTCTAGACCAACGTAACTTCAATATTCTCAATATTATATTAAGAATGACTCGTAACGATACTCTTTCTAATTAGCAATCGAACGTTCTTCAAATGATCTTTAATTTTATCCTTTGGAAATTGTAATAATCTTTATCTAAAATATTAAGACGAATGAAATAAATTAATAAAGATATTGAACGTATTATATATTGATAAAGCTTATTAATAAATTGAAAAACATACGAAGTTTCATCGATTTCAAGGATATCATTTGTCAAAAATTTCAATGTGATACTTTCTGACGATTGAATAATTATTCGAAAATGATTCTTCGTCGGAAGAGAAGAAACATTCGATCAGATTGATTATATCGCTGAATAAAATTGTCATTGATAATACTAATTTATTTAACTTGATAACAATAATAATAATAATAATAATAAATAAAGAAAAACAATGACCGATTAATAATACTGATGTTAATAATGATGATATCGATAATTGTAAAATAAGAAATTTCTTTGAAATTCTTTAAAGTCATTTTGTGAGGGTTTAGATCGTTCCTAGTGTTAATTGTCCTTTGAAAGAGGTCAACTCTAAGGATCGCGAAAGATTTCTTCAATTTTCTCGCGGCGGCGGTCCAGAATCCAAAATCGTCACACGCTCTAAGGAAAAAGAAAATCGTGGATCGAGCTAAGGAGCGCACGAGTCGTGTGTTTTCGGAATCGGCCTGTTTAGAGTGCTTGGCATAAGAGTTATGGTCGCTAATCCGGGAAGGCTGCGTGCTTTCGGGCAAGCTGATGTATCGCCCAACGACAGCGTTTCGAGGATTCTTGCCCCCGAGGAGCCGAACATCTTTTCTCGCACGGTTCGCATTTAGATGAGAAGAACCAAATCGACTTACTGACTTTTTAACTTTGTTACTCGATATAATCTAGAGCTGGAACTGTTTGACCTTCGGAAAAGTCAAAAAGTCAATTTTTATCAATTCAATAAAATCGAAACAATATAATTCGTTTCTATCGGATAGCTATATTTGATTTCATTATTAATTAATTCTACAATTAATTCATTATTAATTCATTCAAATCGATAATTAATCGATTTCTTTCATTTAAATCTTATTGATTTGTTATTAAATATATTTGATATTGAAATGAGTGATATGGAAGGAAAGGAAGAAAGAGAGAAAGAAAGAAAAATGATAACGAAATAAAATAAAGAAAGATTATAAAGATGATAGCCCCGAGATGAGATTTAATTTAATATATAATGAAATTTTTTTGTATATTGGAATCGGAACGTGAAACGATTAATCTTTAGCTGGACTAATGCATTAAAATAGATACGTAATAAACAAGGGCACGCTTTTTCAGAGGGTGAAGAAGGGGCTAAAATGAGAGAAGGAGTAAATTACGATTGATAACGGAATATGGACGCTATCGTAATGGGCCGAGCATTACGTTTTGATAAACACCGACTACGAGCTTGATAGAAACTGTCAAAGTTTCACGATAAAAGCTTCGTTTTCGATAAAACAGCATTACTCTCCCGCGAATCGTGAGCCGATGGATAAACTTGTACTTTAAAAGTTCGCTCGTAAAGAGTTCAGTTTTTTTTTCCTTTTTTTCTCTTTTCTTTTTTTTTCTTTTTTTTTTTTTTTTTTATTCAGAAAAAAAAGTCGAATTTTATAAAATAACGTAAATGAAGTTTAAACATAACAAAAACTTGACATTCAACGTTATTCTACGTACAAACGATTATACGATTAAATGATTAATCTATAATAAAGTTAATAGAAACTTATCGATGATTTATTTATAAACTCGGATAATTATTTAATCGTTATAATTATTTGCCTAAAGAATATATTATCGATAATCATATGGTAATACGTACAAATTAATATCATTAATAACAATATCAGAATTTGTAAAATTTCTTTTTTCTCTTCTTTTTTCATTTCTTCCGAATTTTTTTAATTTGGATACGGATTATAATGAATATATTATAGTTGTCGAATTGTGCCCACCTTATTAATTATCAAACCATATAATAATTAATGTCGATTCGTTAACTAGTCCTCGACTTTGCTCTCTGATTTCGAATCATCATCGGGAGCCGAATGGGATGACCGATCATCATTTGACGCCTCGAGAGCTCGTACAATGCACGAGTGCAAAACAACGCTCCCGCTGCGTATGCGCTATAGTAAACACGATAACGTCGATAGAGATAATGAGGGAGGAAGAAAAAGGATACGTATGGTTCGTACACGCATATACATACACATATTTATAAATCACGTTTCGAGGCCTTGATATCATAAGCGTTCGCATTTCTTTGATTTTTCGGTACTTCGATAACGCTAAAGTTTATAATATCTATTTAAACGATAAAATATTAAATAAGAACAATCATTGATAAGAGAAAGAGAATGATAAAGGAAAAGTAAATTTATGCGAACGCATCAACGAACGTTGTTCCGTTTTTCTACGTCATTGTTCTATTTTTATTCGA